CATTAAAAGATTGAAAACAAAGATCAGAAAAATCCTTACACAAATGAGAATGCACCATTTGAAATCAGATGTTGAATACATCCTCATTTATGTAAGGAAATTTTGAAATTATAATATTAACCACGACCGGACTAACAGAGAGTCGAGAGCTCTTTTCCACCTTATCCATCAATAAGACATCGACGATTTTCTCTTCTTCAAATATATCGTCCATTTTAATTTTGTCTTTTGGTAATATAAAACGAACCATTTTGGGATGACGAAAGAAGATGAGTTCATCGACATCCACGAATCCTGATTCTTCTCACCAATCTGTGAAAGATGATGAAGTGTGTTTATCAAAAATAGGATAAGGGTTCTGGCTATCATCATTTTCGATGAGTTCTGTGTGAGTATGGACATGGTTTCGATTAAGATTTTCTCACTTTTGTAACTGTTTTCTTGCCAAACATATCGTTAGATGTACACAATTCAGCGACACAAGCAGAAATGTTGAGCGAAAATTTAGGTTCTTGCAATTCAACTATGTCACACTATGTTGACGTCAGAATGAAAAATTACGTCATGAAAATTTACCCGTTCTCCAGGATTAGATGCCTTTCTCTACGAAGTATCAGGCAGTCGTCCGTTTTTGTTCCCTTGCTGGAACTGATTTTCAGCAATTGGATGAAGTAGGGATCTATACTTCAACGCTTTACCAGGGGTGTCATCAAGTTGCTACGCAAGCACAAGAACGGTGGAGATGGGATAGGTAATTTTCGCCTTTAAACTATGTTAAATACAGAGTTAAGAGATTTTGGCAAAGATCATAGCTAACCGTTTGCAGCTTGTCCTGTCTAGTCTGATTGGCTCCGAACAGACTTGTGCTGTGAAGAGCAGGACTATTCAGGACAACCTTCATATGGTCCGCTTGATCATAGAGAAAGTCGACTGTGAAGCCGAGCTGATCAATTTGGATCAGTCCAAGGTCTTTGATAGGGTTGACCATCGATTCCTGGAGGCTGTTCTTTCGGCTACCGGTTTCGGGCCGGATTTTCGCTCCTTGATCCGTCTTCTGTATGCGACTCCCGGTGCGCTGGTGAAAGTGAACGCCTGAACCTTTCCGTCGCAAGTTAAAGGCGAATCCGTTCCTGCACGGAATTTCTCTACCTGGTGCTACCACCTCGGCCAGGTATTCTGCCTATGCCGACGGCGTTTCGTTTCTTGTGTCAAGCAGAGCCGATATTAGCGAAATCATCAAAGAAATCAGGGGTTATGAGATGGTGACAGGGGCCAAGATCAACCGTGATAAGTCTGTTGGCTTGCGGTTGGGTTCGTGGAAGGGAGTTTCTCTTTCTGGACTTTTCTACTGGACATATGGGCCGGTCAAGATACTCGGCGTCTGGTACGGTCATGATATCCAGTTGGGAATGAATTGGTTGGAGGTACAAAGGAAGGCCGAGATCGCAATTAATTTGTAGTCTCGGAGTAATCTTTCCATGAAGGGGAGGGTGGAAGTATGTGTTTCACATATCTAACCGACTCTCTTACCATCTAATATCATATCTTGTGGTGAAGCAATCTCGGGAGATCTGTTGCCTTCATCCATCTGAAGGTGGTCTAGGTATGATTTGTCTTGATATGCTTCCCATCAATTTCCTAGATCGTTTGTGTTGCGAATCGGATGAGGAGGGCGCCTTCTGGAAGGAAGATGCCCGTAGAAATTTCCCATCCTTGATAAATGTGCACTCGTGCGATGAGGAGTCTCACCGTTTACCCCTAGCCGAATGCTCCGTCTACCGTGAATGTCGTCTGGCTCTGAAACGCCTCTTACGGGTGTCGGGTAGCCTCTCCAACGTCCAGGCGTTATCTCGTAGAGCATTATATCAAATGTTAGTCAGGGGGTCCGTTCATGATGATCTGATTGATAAGCACGGTCTTACGAAGCGGAGGTTTGCTCGATCTGGCCTTAGGCGCCCGGGTTGAAATGTCTCAATAACGTTGAGGCATCCCTCACCTGTCTGCTTATGCGTGGGGCCCTTTGGGTCGTCAAAAAACTCAGCGTGCTTGGAGAAAACTCCAAACTGCCGACGCTGTGATGGGGAAGTCGAGACCCTTGGCCACGCTTTCTTTCATTGCAGGGTGGTAGCACCGTTGTGTAAGTTTGTTTAAAGCCTCATGGTTCGCATGCTGCAGGAAAAGTTCTTTGTCCTTAAGGACTCTTCTGTTTGTAGCAATGTGGCACCGCCGTTGACGAAGGCTGAACTTTATGTGTTCCACTGCTTGCTAGGTGTTATGAGAGTCGTGATTTTGGTCTACACGTCAGAAGGGATTCTATGGAGGTGAGAAGTTCACTTCTTCACAACTGATCTTGTGCTTTAAGCATCAGTTTGAAGTCAAGATTAAGACGGAAAGGCGACAACTCTCTTTATTAAAATTCGGCAAAAGGTGGGTAAATCTTGCGCGACTGTGTAGAGTGAAAGGGTCTGAATTGGAGTAGCACTTTGATGCAGATTAGGTACAGGATTTTGTCCTTTCTGGGTTGAACAGAGGCAACCCGTCCCGATATTAGGCTAGTTGAGGTTTAGTTTGAATCTATCGTTTCCTGTTTTCGGTTAACTTAGCTGGGCTATGTATGCTCATTGGCCCCCTTTTATTTCTGTCCCTATTTTTCTTTTGTTTAATTCCCCATCCCCTCCCTCGTTAGGTGGTCAGTAATATCAGTTCTCTGGTTGTTGCGGGATGACTTTCGTTTCGCGTGTGTTTTCGTATTTGTTGTCGTGACTGAATCGGTGCATGTTTGTGTGAGTGTTTTTGGATGGGTGATTGTTTTTCATACTATTATAATCCCGTAATTTTGTCGTCCAGTTAATGATGTTTCTGCCACACTTAGGGATTGTGGATTTTTTTTTATTACTAACCTTATTTTGTTTTCTTTTTATGTAAATAGTATTAATTCATATTGTAAATAATCATTGGTTTTTTTTTTAATTCTTGTTTTTATTCCCCTCCCCCCACAGACTTTTAAATGTACATATGGGGATTAGTTAGAATTTAATAGAGTCATTGAGGTATTATGGTGGATGTAGTAAGAAAGGTGGGAGAGATTGTGTTGTTTTGGTGATAGAACTATTGTCGGTATATTTGGGTCAGTGTTTGTGACCAGCTAAGTTTAGAATCAAGACAGAAGAAAACCGTCTTTTCCCCAATCCCCTTTTTGGCCTTGTGCCACATTTTGTACAAAATTGTACGAATAAATATCCATTCGAAATCTATTGTGCCAATTTTCGGCCATTTTATTTCCGTTTTCATGATGTAGACTAGGAGAAAATGATGGAATATATATTTGCAACTAAAAACGAAAGCTTTAATGAATGAATGAATGAAATATTTTAAATTGTTTTGAAATTATTAGGTATATTTTAAATTCAATGTATATATGTTGTTGTTGTTGTTGTCGGCACCCGTTCATATCCGAACATCGAGATCGCCATTCTCCCTCCCTTTCTCTTCTTTGGTGGCAATGGCGGAGATGACTGTGAATGAAAAAGAATTTGACGAGGCCATTCGTGTGAATCTGATTTTTGTGTACAGCTTTGCTTAACGGAGAAGCCTACAAATTTGGCCAGAAACGCCTCCCTCGCGGCTCAAAAGGGAATTGAGACAAACGAGATCTGGCAAACCTGCTTGGTCTGTCAAGGTCCGTTTTGGTTACGCCAGCCCGGTTTGGTCCTTGAGATTTTGTAGATCTTTGCCTATTCCGCCGTTGGGGGTCTTCGGGATGTGGTAACGTGTGGTCCTTCATCTTCGACTTTACATCCACGAGTAGCCCTACTGTATTTGGAACTTAAGACGTCTTCACTCTTGGGATCACTCTGACAAGTAAGCTCTCTACCATGACAAGGAACGATCACATATATTTTACACTGGATGTCAGAATGAACAGTCGATGTAAAATGAATAACAATTTTGTATATCGTCGTCATCGGCTTTATCTAATATCCAAGAATTTAATTTCTTTTTTGATTATCGCCTTTTTTTATGATAACAGTGTTGATGACTAAATTTGCCACCAACGTGCAGGTTTAGGACAAGAAGCTTCCAGTTTCAAGAAAACCTTCTCTCGTCACCCATTTTCTACCGACGTTTGTCTTTGCATGAGTTGGTTGGAGATGAAAGGAAATCAGAGTTGAAGAAAGTGCCAATGGCGTGAATTTATTTAAGGTGAACCCCAACTTGTCAGGAAGTGACTCACACATTTGATTTAATGAATTTCCTCTACGGTATAAATTTTATGAGACAAGCAAAATCCAGTTATGAAACTGCAACGGATTGACGTTATAATTTTGAGTGGCGCCTTCTGTAGCATGTCCGTCATGCGTAGCCCTTTTCATCCGCTGGTTCAACTGCTGAAATCAATTTTGCATATAAACCTTTTTTTTTTTACATCATTCTTTTCGTATTAATGTTGTTAATGTAAATCTATCTATCTATCTATCTATCTATCTATCTATCTATCTATCTATCTATCTATCTATCTTTGATGCATGTTTCATTAAATAATATAGACAAGTTTTATCTATTTATTTTAAGTAAGTTCCTTTCATATTGTCTGATAAGCTTAATAACATTATCATTGAAGGACGAAAGGAAATCCCCATATTGATACATGTTTAAATCCAATCTAAGCTTTCATAAGCCATTATCAAAGATGACAATTACTTTTCAATATATCAACCAATACACGGACGAAAAAATAATAATAGTCTATTTTTGTTGCATGAAAAATTTCAAAACAACGACTAACTAGTGTATACGAGACGCGGAAGCGAAAATCACGTCGCAGCTCGTGACGTCACACATGACCACGTGAGAGTGAAAACGAGAAGTATTAAGTATGGGAAGCCGTTGGTATAAACCAATGGCTTCTGTTATCAATTATAGGCAAGAATGTTTGTGGAAATTTCGTAGTTTATTTTGTTCAGGTTAGGTTTCAACTGTTTTATGTATATAGCTTCAAGCATCTATCTCTCTATCTATCTATCTATCTATCTATCTATCTATCTATCTATCTATCTATCTATCTCTGTTCTAATATATCTATATATGTATCTCAGCCTGTTCCACTCTATCTATCTATTTATCTATCTCTGTTCTAATATAGCTATATATCTATCTCAGCCTGTTCCACTCTATCTATCTATCTATCTATCTGCATGATACCTCATGGGACATAACTCATTTACAGAACCTCTCTACTCTGTCTTATCTTGGACACTCCGATGTGGTGTAATTGTTACCAAACTTGTCTTTAGTTTCGTCTTTCAGTTCAATAAAATTTGAGAGGAAGAAGGAAGATGAGTTCATCGACATCCGTGAATCCGGATTCTTCCCACCAATCTGTGAAAGATGATGAAGTGTGTTTATCAAAAATAGGATTCTGGTTATCATCATCTTGAGTAAGAGTGGATAGCCATGATTTCCATTAAACTTTTATCGCTTTAAGTCTCTGTGCTTACTTTGCAAAAAACGAAGTTAGATGCACACAATTCAGCGACACAAGCAGAGAAGTTGAGGGAATTTTTTTTTTTTTTTTTGCAATTCAACTACGTCACGCTATTTTGACATACGAAGAAAAATGACAAATTTCCATTAAATCATTCTCATTTTCTAAGACAAAAGAAACGTAACCGTCGATAGATTCCAAATCTATTCTTCAGATTTTCGGCCATTTTTTTCTCTATTTTCGTGATGAACAAGAAGAGAAATTAAAAAATGCTGTAATAAATTTATCAGCCAAAAATGAATGCTTGAATGAATGAATAAAGAATTTTTAAAGTTTTGAATTTTAATTAAATTATATTTCTAATTGAAGGAGTAAAAATTCTGTAAAGAAAGATTTTTCAGATCATTCATTTTACTTCATGTTATTAATACAGTCTTTCGATCTATCTATCTATCTATCTATCTATCTATCTATCTATCTATCTATCTATCTATCTGAGTCCACGTGGCATGTCGGGCGTCCACAGAAGCTCTCTACTGAGTTCTATCTGGTAGCAGATGTCAGGGTCCCAGTTGTGGGCAAATGGGGAACCACCAACAAAAACAAAACTCTATGCAAACATAAAATACATTTTAGAATAACAATACTGCCAAAATATTAGTGGAGATTCCAATATTCATCATAAGGAATAGTTAGTCCAGTTAACCATAACCGCTGATTATGCTAATGATAAGTTTACTATAAATAGGTATTCTATTTATAGTAAACTTATCATCGATACATATTTATATCAAAATGACAAGTAATACATTTTATAATAGAATCACCAACAAATATAATTTATCTGTAGTTAAAGACATGCAATTGTGTTCAAAATATATTTAGTTGAAGCTATAAAATTGTGTTCAGAATATTTAGATTTTGTCATTAAAAAACCCATAGAGGTGTTGATATGCCACTAAAGATAATCAACTAAACCAACCACACACGGCATAAATAGACTCCAAATTCTGCTATCGATACAATAATTAAAGACACTTACGTTTGAACTATCCAAAATTAAAACTCCATGTTTAAGAGGTTAAAGTTGATCTCATGTTCCAATCTGAAACTAGGATCAACCATTATGTTCCAGTTTAGGAACTTATAACTACAGGTTAAAGCGCAATAAATTGCGTTTTTTTTTTCTTGTTTATTTTGCATTTCGATTATATCACATTATTTGAATTCAAAATAAAAAAATCACACCGAGCAAATGTCTGTGAAACAATTCCCCCAGCGAATGAGAACTCGAGAGTCTACTCAACAACATAAGAGTTCTGGGGAGGAATCTGTGGGTGTGGCAAGGCGAGTTATGACTGTGAAGGCGTGAACTGTTGGAACTAAGGAATATAAATCGACTGAAGATCTGCCTTGAAGGTAGCGAAAGAGTAGCGAGTGGCTCTGTGTAATAAAGGTGGTAAGGTGGAAAACTCATCCCCCCACCCACAAAGGTTATGTCCTCAGTTTAGGTAACGATTTTAGAACTGATGACAAGAAGAAGTTTGTTGATGAACAATTGGAACCTCGTAGTACCAAGGATAGAGTCCTAGGGGACAACAGAAAAATATCTGCAAGACTCGCCGTTCACCGCGAGAAGAAAACCTGTCAATCGCCTTCGAGATATCCAATGCAATAAACCGAGCTTCATTATTTTTATCTAGCGTTTGATAGAATCTTTCCGCCATATCCGTTAACACATAAGCAGTTAACTTAGGTAAGTGAAAGCTTGTCTGATAAAAAATTCCTTGCATGGTGAGATGCTTAACAAATCCTGAGTTGATTAGTGGCTATAGTACTTTACCAAATAAAACCAGAAAAAATGAACTGGTGTATAAATTTTTTTTTTAGATATGTTACCACCCACTTGCATAATTTCATGAAATTTCGAGAAATTAAATTTTTAATGGTGAGGGGTATTTTTATAATTTAAAAACAGGACTCTTTGGAGAAAGTAAATCATTTAAGACATCGTTTCATCGAAAATCTGCTCTGAATTGTAAAATAAAACATGCAATAAAACTATGACATTATTTAATTAGAAAAGCTTTTAATTACTTTTGTAAATAAGTTATATTAAGAACACTATTCTAAAAAAAATAATTTTTTAAAAAAATCCAGCAATTATTTGACATTCCAATCTATATAATTTCTTTCTAAAATATACCAGAATATTTTACTTACTGGAAATAATAAATTTAATTATTTAGCTTTCAATTAAAACTAGAATGAAATCGTCAAGAATGCTTTCTCATTTAAAAATGTAATTTTAAAACTTCAGTGGAGATACCTACATTACTATGTTTTATGAAATCGAATATAATTAAATAAACAATATATTCCTTTTAATTAAAAATATATTAAATTTTACTTATTTGTCTCCTATTACATTTGCCAATATATCATATATATTGTTTATTTGTTTCTTTAATTGTGAGGCAGTGATTGGAAACAAACAGTAACAGGAATCAGTCTGCAAACACTTTCTAAGGACAGGTGAAATTTTTTCGAACAAGAGGTTTGACGCAATTATTTCAAATCAAAAAAGGAGCGGAGAATCTCAAGAAATATTTGTAAATTTTTATCAGCAAACGTTTTAATCAGTGAGTTGAATGTAGACGAGCATCAATAAAACACGAAATCAAATAAAAGTAATCAAAGTTTAAATAAAAAAGATGAAAAAAAGAAATATATATTTAATTCAAATTTATTAAATAACCAAACAATGAACAAAGTTGCAACATTTGAAATATTAAAAATTGAACAAAGAACAAGAGAAAAACATCAAAATGTCTTTTTTTTATCGACAAGGCAAACAGTTAATTATCTTTTGTCTTTCCAATACAAGAAAAAAGTCGACGAAATCTCTGGCTAACTCTACTCCATCCAATACGGATATTTCGTCGGATGATTGTGCAGAGAGTTTCCTGATTCATCTCTATAGGCACCAGAAATGTGGTTACTGGATAGTAATCATTGGAAATTTGAGGTGATGTAGTTTTACATGTCATTGATGACCGCTGTGTACGACAACGTTGATAAAGAGCTTTCATCTTCTGAGCGCATTATCTCGATCTCAACTGTTTCCGAGGATTGATAAGGTATCAGAAAATTGCTGTTTTCACTTTTCGTAACAGCAAAATTTCCATTGTCTAAAATTGTAATATTCACTACGGCAGGACCAACGGACAGACGTGAGTTCTTTTACAGTTTATCCATCAAAGAAAAATCAACAATTTTCTCTTCTTTAACGTTAATAGTCTTTTGAGTTTCGTCTTTAGGTTCAACAAAACGAACACTTTTCGGACGAGTCAAGAAAATGAGGTTTGAATACATCCGCGAATCTTGATTTTTCCCCAGAAATCTGTGAAAGCCGCTGAAGTTTGTCTTTCAAAGACATCATTCTGGTTCTGGTTATCTTCTTCTTTACCGATTTCCGAGTGGATGGCCATGATTTCGATTGAATTTTTCTTGCTTTCAGTCTCCAATTTCTTGCAAAAAACAACGTTAGATGCAAACGATTCAGCGACACAAGCAGAAAAGTCGAGGGAAAATTCAGGTTTTTTTGCATCTTGATTACGTCTCTCTATTGACGTCATGCAAGTTTGGCCGTTAAATAATTCCAATTTCCTCAAACGAAAAACGCAACCGTTGATATATATTCCAAATCTGTTGTATAAATCTATTTGATAGTTGTATAAAAGCTAAAAATAAATGGCGAAAACGAAAGAAAGAACTTCAGATTGTAATATGATTACGCGCCAAAAATGAAAACTTCAATAAATGAATAAATAAATATCTTAAAATTAGGTATCTCCACTATTTCGGCATAAATTTTCTAAGTAAGTTTAAAATGAATTTTTTACAACGAAAAAACATTCTTGAAGATTTTATTTTAGCTTTAAAAAAAAGTTTAATCATTAAATTTATGATTTCCATTAATTAAACAATTCTGGCGTATTTCAGATAGAAACTATATACATTTGATTGTTAAATTTAAATTCAAATTTTTAAATTTTCTTAAAATCGGCCATTTTCTTAATTTTAAGAAATTTGTAAACAAACACAAATTTATCGATTTTGAAAATATTTAAAAAAATTTTGACACGTTATTTTAGTAAAATTAAAAAAATTTAAAGTTAAAGTAATCTGATTTTAAAGAAATCTTTCTTACTTATAGCATAAAAAAATAATATACAACCAATTATTAACGTCCTTTGCCATGTTGTTCTTGGACTTCAACTACAACTTATTTAGGCTGATAAAATATTGCATACGTTGTTTTGGTCTTGCGCAAACTTTCGACTATTTTTTTCCTATTTGCAAGATAAAAGAAAATAGAGAGAATAAGAAATGTTCCTGAATATGGAAATTTATTTACTCACAAAAAATGAATGCTTGAAGAAAATTTTATTAAATTTTTCTTTTCCTAGTAAGGTTGTTAATACATCTTTGCCGACCCATACTTAAGCCTTCTATCTATCTATCTATCTATCTATCTATCTATCTATCTATCTATCTATCTATCTATCTGCCTGAGAGATATCACCAGATATAAGGAACCTTTAGAACATCTATTGCTTCCCTGTCCTACTCCAAAGTCATCTGCTATGTCTTCCGATTTTCATCTTCTTTCAGGTCGGTACCATGTTCGTGATGTTGTTTGGGTTTTGTCACGCCCCATATTCTTTTTCCACACTTAGCAACCATATAACTCGTTTTATAAAATCGTCCGACTTTCTCCAGCAGTATCATTTGTTGGGTTTGTAAGATATGTCTACTCAAATACATAGAGATTGGTCACATGATGTTGGACGGTCACTCTTTGGTTAATAAAACCACTTGGGTTCAGAAAAGACTCACCACCAACAGAGAAGGGACCGGACCTGCTCCGAAGTAACCCAGTTACCGAGGGTTTTAAAGTTACAAGCTACCTAACCCTATTTCACTCATAAGATGGGTATGTCCACGGTACTAGTTGCCAAAGTCTTTAAGGGTGCAAGCTATCTAGTCCTAAATCCACCTCTCTATATTCTCTCTATATAGGAAAGGACATAATGTTTACGTTTTAACCGTTGTATTGATATTTATTGTATATAAAATACAATTATGGCACAAGGCCGAAAAAAGGAGGGATTGAGGCTGGTCTTCACTATCTTGTAACTAGCTAATCAGGTTCACGACCCATTCACTCGTTACAATTTGAACGTTTACCACAAAAACTCATCTGTCACCAATCAATCCTCCATACACCATAATACCGCTTTATTCTGCCCATTGAACAAAATCAAGAGGCTCTCTAGCTAAGGGAGAGGGAAAAGAGAAAATATAGACGGGCATGGGGAAGGAACATCGAAAATCTGTAGTGAGATATGAGACAATTAAATTGAGGATTGTTGATCATGTATGGAGAAAAGGGCAGTGTCATCAGCCCCTGTGTTATGAAGTAAACATTCTGAACAAGGAAGAACAACGGAGAGTTAATCTGAAAGAAGAATCAGTGCATATGCTAGGCTATTAGGACCACATTAGTAGTCCTAGCATAGAAATAAATATAATATAGGAGCTGCTAATAAGAAAGAGAAATGGCAGCAATGTTCAGCAGCAGCAGCAGTAAACAAAAAGTGGGCAGCAGCAGCTGTCAAAATATGACAGCCAGCAGCTGCAGCAGTGGTAGTGTCAGTCGTAGCGCAAAGATGGTTCGATTTAAAGCGCACTATGATTACTTCTGCAAATTACTCTATGGGTCAATGGCCAAATTGGTTTGTAAATTTGTTGACACAATGGTTGTCACTTTAATCCCTAAGTCGGATAGTGTGTACTTGCAGACACTGGAAACGGATGTGCAATAAATGAACAGTGCTACATAAAATAAGACATCAGCAGCGGAAGGGTAACAGTCTAACCTCGTTCAGGTTTCATTTCGGATTTCCATGTAGGTTACCCAGGTTGATATACACCTGAAGAAGGCCACGGATGTCACAACGACCGAAAGGTTGTGACAAATACACAATAGTTAGATTATAAATAGTGTAAAAAAAAAATGGTAACTCCGCATCACAGAAATTCAGACAAAAATTATTGACCAGACCCGATGTGATATACCAATGAAGGAGATTGGGAAAAAATCCATGAAAAATTCTCGTCGGTGTCAAATCATCTGACATTCTTATAATGATGGGGAGACCTAAAACAAGTTCAACCGGGCTTATCAATGAATATATCGGTTAATTCCAAGAAAGCACAAAGGTTAGTGCAAAGAACAGGACACTCCGTCGTGAGGTAAAAAGGATTGTGATAAAAAATATAAATAGCATAATGAAGGGTTTGGAAAAAAAAAAATGGAAATCATCATTTTTAGGTAATTTGACTAATCTGAAACTGACCTTACTTTTTCTTGCTTAGCTACCGTTTTTGTTGTACTGAAATGCGTCAGTTTTGAAAAGAAAATATTTTTCATTTGTTTTCTGTATTTCTGATATTGACCGATGACAATATTTCTCAAAATGAAACCGTAGAAACCTGTCAATTCGTATTTAAACCAACAAATATTGGCCTGCTTATTGTGAAATATTATTTTTGCAATAACAATCAGACCCTAAGTCTTTAAAAATAACACGATTGAATATACCAAGGCCGACTAGTATTTTCATCAAATCATTTAATAAACAGGAGAAATAAAATATTATTTAAGTCCCTTTTGATATTCTAACAGTATCATGTAGAAGAGAATAAAAGCATTCAATTGGGATGTCTTTAGTTGGAGTTTCTTTCCAACTGTGAAAACAAAATGCTCACAATATGCTTGGTTGCCTTCCATATTGAAGGGATAAAAGTGATGGGATAAATTTATGAATATCAAACAGAAGATTTTAGGGTTTCAGTTTTTTGATGTCACCATAATTATCAAGTTTACTAAAATGTATGACTGATAAAATTTATCAGTTTTAATTTAAATTTGGCCGATAAATGGGAAAAATTCAGTATATCTATTTTAAAATTTTTGACTCATAAACACTTTTGTCTTATAAAAATAGTTTATTTCAGCTAGCTGAGATAAATTTCTCGGCCTACCATAAAATTGATGAGTTTCTACGATCTTTATTAACTAAATTATGCGATCAGCCGAGATCGTAAATTGATCTTTTTTCCAAAAATGAGCAATTTCAGTACAGCAAAAATGGCAACTAACGATGCAAAACTAAGGTCATTTTCGGAATCAGTTCCATCAAATTATCTAAAAAAAAAGTGTTTTGTTTCTTGGCACAAAAAAAATCGTTTTGACCAATGTAATGAGGGTTTTCAATTTGAAGAAATAATATCAAACCAAAATAATCAATCCCAGACGGTTTTTTGACATTAACCCTAACCCACCCTGAAATTTATTTTTAATATTACCAAACATAAATGGATCATTGTGGTTGGTATGATAGCTATATTACCTGCCATTTTCTTTTGGTTATCTCTTTCCGAATAAAATACTAGTCGCCTTTGAAGAAGGACGTAGAATATTTCCGCTGTAATTTGATGCCACTAAAAATTAAATATCGAATGTCATTTCCTCGAAGGAACAATGGAAAGGCTGACCCTAAAACGACCCTAAAAGTGTCATGAATCGAAATTACGGGGCACACAGTGAGTATCAATCTCGCTACTCAGTCAAAAATGACCTAATAACAAGATAAATCTCTAAAACATTATACTACGTCGATCAGCCAGAAATTAACATCAATTTAAAGTCAATTTACATTTATTTAAAGTATATTCATTAACACAAAAACTCACCGTCTCTGGGACCAAACTCTATGGATCATGGTTCCAACCCTGCCTTCGAGTGAGGATTCCAGCCGGGAGGTAGTAACTACAGCGACTTTCTACCAGCTGCATATAACTGAACTAACTACAGGCTTATATATCCGCCTATATAAATGAACTACTGACAATTTATCCAGGGCAGAGATGACACGGTATCGCTCGCCATAAGGCTTTCGAGATTGAAATCAACGGGACAAGGTGAAAGCCTCTCTCTAGGGAATCTACGAAGCTGTGCATGTGACCAAGCCGGAGACCATCTGATGTGATCTGACATATCTAGGGATGGGCTACAATGGATTTACTTTGCCGAAGGCACGATATGCGTGAATGAATATCAGTTATCATGGTGTATGGCCATGATTTCGATTAAGATTTTATCGCTTTCAGTGGCTGTTTTCTTTCAAAAAATCTTGCATGTAAATGATTCAGCGACATAAGCAGAAAATGTTGCAATTCAACTACGTCACTGTATTTTGACAGCAGAATAAAAGATGATATCATGAAATGTCCGTTAAATAATTATCATTTTATGAAATGAATTAAGTCCGACAATTATTTAATATATTTTCTATTTATACGTTATTTTTAATAGATACAAGTTAGTAAGTAAATGCTCGTTTTTTTTTTAAATAAACAATATTAATTACATTTACCGGTCTGAATGTCCGAGAAATTTCGTAGAAAATTTGCATTCTCCAATAGGAATCGAACCTGAGTCCCATCAGTCAGTTATATGCCATGCGTGATAGACGCTTAGGCGATCTTTCGATACATGATTTTTTCCCCGCAGTAGGTTGCCATTTCTTTCTGTGGTAGACTATCCAAGGCTGTAGAATAGGTTTGTCCTGCTATTTACACATATCTGGGGGAGAAGAGTATTCATAACTTTCCCAAAGGCATTAGCACATAAGTGAATGTAATGGATTCGAACTGGAATTCGATCTCAGCTCTCCAATTCCTCAATCCGAGCCGCTACCCATTACTCCACATACAGAACCGTTATTTTATTTAACGTGCTATACCACTACAGAGAAGCGTCCGAATTAATGTTTATAAACAACAAATCTTCGACGATCTTTCCCGAGCGATCAAATCTGCTCACAAAACGTACCTTAACGTAAACATTGACAACATATTATGAAATGGATTAAGTTCGACAATTATTTAATATATTTTCTGTTTATGTTTATTAAAAATAGCGTATAAACAGAAAATATATTAAATAATATAATAAACCTTGAATAATTTCCATCTTGTGTCAGTTATTAATTCGTTGCTTGTATTTCTCTGTTTCATTTGTGTTACTTTCTTTTTACAAATCTCTGATATTTATATTTCTACATCAAGGGTGATTGAAAAGTATCTCCCTATTATATGTATGAGTGGCCAGCCAGGACATCTGATTTAATCCACTGTGACTTTTTTTCTTTGGAATTGGTTAAAGGAGCAAGTCTACTAAACTAAACGAAGACTTTGGAATAATCTGAAGGGCGAATACAAGAAGTTATATCTTCCAAGCCACAAGAGTTCCTGATGAAATCTATTGACGCGATTCCTGGGCGGCTCAAGAAGCTGGTAGCGCAATAAGGTGCCCATATCAAATTTTAAAGAAAACCTCATGCTAAACTCTTTTCTCTCATATCCTCTTCTTGTAAGAATGATAGATAATAAATAAATTATAAGTATTTTATAATGGGGAGAGTTACTTTTCAATCACCCAATATATGCTGTCTCCTTTCAGGGCGTGTGAGATAATTGTTTTTCACAACTTTTGTCCTTTTTAGCCTTGGGAAAGTTTGCCTTTTTGCTAATCTCTCTTAATCCCCGTTCTACCAACCATATACACAAGCTAGGCAGGGATTATGCGCTCTCGATTGCCTACAATATA